TATAAAAAAGTACAATTTTGAAAAATTAACCATGGAAATAGATTTTTATACGCTAATTTTAAAAATCTGCAAAACTTTGCAATAAAAACTACTATATTATAATAATTATAATTATAATACTCATAATTATGAGTATTAGTATAAGAACGTATGACAGGCTCCATCGGCTACGCCTTACACTGATCTTCTAGGGTTATTTTACACCCTTTCGGTTCTATATTTATCCTGCCACTGCACAGCGTTACCTGTGTTTGGTGGATCCGAATTTTCACCCCGGCAGGTTATCTTTCCTAGGAGGTCGTGGATGACAGTGTCGATGGTGAGGGCCGCCGCACACTGGTCGGAAATAGCTGTTTTTGTCCAAAAACCTCTTAATGGTTTAAACTGACAATTTTTTTATGAAAGTATATGTAAATGGGGGTGCTAAATCCAATGGAAAAATTGTAAATTTGATATTATTAATATTTTCTTAGGTATATTATATTTTATTCAATTTTAAACAGTTTTTACTACAAAACAAGGTGTTTATTGTAAATAATTAATATTTTTAAAGAATTTTGAGTGATTTCTAGTAAATAATACATTGAGTCATGAGTTATGGTATTTTAAATCACGCATTTTATTTATTGACTAAAAATAAATTAAAAATAAACTAAATGGGTTTTTAACTTATTTATTGAATCTAGAGTCACATAATATAAAGGAGATATAACAGTAATTCTAAAGCTTCATCACTAAATGGAAGTATTTTTTTCTTAAATTGCGGTCTTAGGTTTGTAATAAATGGGACCGAACTAACCAAAATGCCGTGGAAAACGTCTCCATTTGTAGCTAAGCGAGAACATTTTCGAGCGTAATGCGTCCTGAAGAATTTATAATCTTTGTTCCTGCATTCTTGAGCTTCCTCTATGTAAACCTATAGAAAGAGCTGTGCATTCAATAATATCTGCTCCATGGAAAAGAATTTTGTGGACTGATGCAGGAAGGTAATACCACGGGTATAGTGTAACGATCAGACTAGCAATCTCAGAGCAATACTTCTTGAACTTGATGGTATCTATTGGTGAGAAGCTGCAAATTACCTCTAGAATAACTCCCAGTTTACTTATTAATAATAATAAGTTATTATACATTCGTCAATTTGAGTAATCTCATCCACTAGCGAAGGATTTGAAAATAATCTTCTAGAGGTATTCCCATCATTTGTCGTTCCTGAGCCGTGTTTTACTACATCAACGCGTAGACACATTTTCTTCCAAAACTCGTCTTGAAGTTTTTTCTTTTTCTCTTTCAAAGGACGTGTTTCCGGTGTTGTTCTCCAAGCCTTGAAGTCTAGATTGTAGCTGAGATTCAAAATAAATTCCATGAACCTAATTATCCAGGTGTTGGATAATTCCGAGATTTCAGTGTAATCGCGATTTTTCTCAGTCTCAGTTCGGGGGTTTCCTTCTTGTACTGAAAATGTAGGGCTCTACAATAGTTCGTTGAGGACGGACGCGTCTTCTTCCAAATGTCTGTGCCGGCCGCTGTGATCGTTACGCTACTCTCGTCTGAAAAACTTTGCTTGAATTCACTTTGACCAGAAGCTCCATCCATTCCCCATTTTGTTTGTAGAACAACTTCTTGTGGCCAAGTCTGACATCCGGAATGCGATTCGAAAATTCTACGGTATTTCTATGTTCTTTGGATAGCAATTCTTCTTAGCTTCCAGTACTTTTACATAGCTTGGAAATATATTGTGGCCTGTTTTCTTTATCGCCTTCCTAATTACTTCATACTGGTATTTGGACAAGTGAGCCTGAGTTATCAGGGCTAACGCAGAATCAGAATCCAGTACTGAACTTTTTTCATTTTTTTGCGATGACGAAGCAGCTGCATTGATAATATCTTGGGAGCAAGTTCTACGCAAACTTCGTACTTTGTAGTGTTGTGCACTTCTTCCACACTCCAAAAATGTTTTGCCAGGCCTGCCTCCACTATCACCTTCACAACTGAAGTTCTCAGATACCACAATGAATTCACCCTTCAACCAGTCTTTATATCGTTTTAAAAAGTTAGGCTTACTGTTACAGTAAGTACAGTACTTTACCACTTTTTTTATTATTGAAATTTGGTAAAATCTCTTCTTTATTTGTTTAACTGCATCTTTAATTTGTCATTCCCTATATGTGGATAGCTTTCTCTTAATCCCTGATCTAAAGAGCAACCACTTCTAAACAGTATTTCACACAACTTGTCGTAAGGGTTAAGGGTGTTTGTTATACCTACATAATTATATAAAGGATTAAAGAATGCAATCAGGTAATAAATTTTCCACTATTTTTATTTGTTATTTGTAAGGTATTTTAATTAGAGATTAAAGGTACTTATTTTAATGTTATTCTTTAGATACCTAGTAAATTTTGCAATTATAATATTTGGCTTGGGTTTAAGTGGACATATGTTATTTACGAAAATAATCGCTTTTGATGCATTTTCAGTTTGCACATTCAACATTGTGTACAACACACCCAACAGGCAATATACTGTAAATCCTGGTGTTCAACAGTTTCTAAAATTCCCCACCAACATATACGGCTGAAAACGGCTATGAAATTTCTGGTTTCAACCCTACAATACCTATATTTTGTGGTGGTAACATTCCCGAAGCAAAGCTCTGTAAAGCTTTTTTGTGTCGGTCCAATATTTGCAAAGAAACGTTATTTATTAGACTAATTAGAAAAGCTATGCAAAAAACACCCTAGGTTTATTTAAAAAAAAAATATATATATATATATATCCTTTTAAAGACTTTTATATATACTTTAAACAATCACAACAATGGCCGATTTTTTAAATCGTTTTTTTAAACAAAAAAAGCACCAAACGTTCCGTTGCCAATAGCGACATTTCTCATTAATTTATGAAAAATTTAAGTTTTGATAAGTATTACGTTTAACCAATTTTATTTAAAATTAAAATGGGTTCAGATTATGTGTGTATAGATATTTAGGAATGTAAAATAGCCCATTTTGAATCATTTGGATAAAATAAATTTAGGGGGTTTTTGGACACAAAGAACCAGTGTGCGCCGGGCCGACAGTTGGTTTTTGGGGGGCGTTAAACTGACCCAAAACCAAGTACAATCCGGACTCCCCCTCAACCAGGGTATTAATACTAATTAGTAATGACCCCATTCAATTGGGGTTGGGGTGGCAGTTCACTTCGCGCTTTTTAACTGCACTGTATAATTGTTTATAGTTCAGAGCGGAGAAACTTCTCGACCGTAGCAGTGTTGATTTGGTACTAATATATTATAATAATTATATTGTTTTAATTATTTTTTTAATGTGACGATCCTGTTGGTCAAGAATTGTAAGTTTAGAAAACTACATTGTAATTACTCCTTTCCGTAAAATAATTTAGTCCAAATATGTTAAAACTATTAACAAACAAACATTTAATTACTGTATTTCATAACAATATTAATACGGTAAATAATGCCCGTATGCACCGTATGGACTTAATCTCGATAAGGAGTTTAATCTCGCTTAGTTCGAAAATTTATCATGCACCGCGCGAAAAATGTAGTTTAAGTGTTCGATTACGAGATCCACCGGCGAGGTTGGTTTAATCGCAGGATTAACTGATTTTCTAACCAAATTTTTAGTTCCAATCTTCAAAAGTAGATTTCAAAAACTAGTTATAGTAGAAATGGTAAAAAATATAATTAAATAATGGATTTAGAAGAACTATTTGTAGAAGATGATCAAGATATTCTGGACATAATTATTTTTGGATTTCCGCGACGAAATTATTAAAGGAGCGAATATTTTGACACCATGGACAATTTTTCGTTTTTTCGCCGATTTCGATTGACTAAACCCACCGTTCTAAACTTTCTTAATGAAATTAAATATTGAAGCCCAGTTCTGTTAGTTTTTTTTTTGCCTTCCAATATTTTAGAATACCTCATAACCATAATCATAACAATCATCATTAGATTTTCTTTTTCAGCTTGTGAAAAGTTAGTAATTCTGGTCTCCCATTTTATAGACAGACGAAGGATGATCCAAAAAAATTTTCCACACGGAGAGAAAAATTTTGCTAAAATAACTATCCAAAGTATTGTTAAATGACGTATCGTGACTTTAGTCAACTGTTTTATTAAACTGAGGATTTGTATGGCTAAATTAGCTATACAGATCCTCAGTTTAATAAAACAGTTGACTAAATTCACGATATGTCATTTAACAATACTTTGGATGGTTATTTTGGCAAAATTTTTCTCTCCGTGCATAAAAAAGTTATTGTATATTAGGCAAAATTTAAATTTTAGTTTGTCAACATAGTTTGTTTCTCTATGGTTGTCAATCGATTTGAATTTACGATTAACAGTTTTTTTGTGTTTTTTGACAAATAAAACAGCTTTGCCAAATCACCAATCCAGATTGGAGAAAGATTAACATAATCGCGATTTGCTAAAACGGTGCATACGGGCATAAATAAAAACTTTTTTTATAATAATTTGTCAATGGTTAAAAAACTCTCAGTGATTATATCTATGGTTATTTTGACGTTTTCAAAATATCACTGCAGCTTCTTATGTTAACTTGCATGTCCTGAAATTCCATGTTATTTAAATGATATATTTTAAGAAATTGGTAAATTTATGTACTTTCCAGGTAAATTACCTTTATTTGATTTCTATTTGCAATTTATATTTTTTTAAGCTTAATTGAAATTCAAAATTTAATAATTGATATGATAAAGCTTTTAATAAAGTTCGATTTCAGCCCCATTAAATTTGGTTTCTGGGAGTTTTTGATAGTAAAGTAATAACAAGAATTTAGTATTTATAATAAATTAAGAAGCGTCACAATTAATTTTGTTATCTTGTTTTTTTATGCTAAGCTAAAATATTACTTGATATTGTAGTAAGCACATTTTAGCTCAGCAACAAACGGCATACGCCTTTACGTATTTTCAATGGCAATATGACCTAAAAATCATCTTTACAGGAATCCAAACGTCTCCAGACGGGAGAGTAACGAACATCCCGGGCAGTATGGTAAACGATCAATTTGGTATAGTGGGATTACTGACATTCATCAGGGCAGCTGAGACGGATCCGAATCTGGTGTCTTTGGCACTGGGTCAAGATCTTACGGCGCTTGGACTGAATCTCAACTCACCAGACAACCTGTATCCCACCTTCGGCGGTCCTTGGGCCGAACACCCTTGCAGACCGCAAGACATAGACTTTCACGTTCCTCCTGAATATCTCATCAACCATGCCATCAGGTTTGTTTCTTTTAGTATCTATTTAGTTCTTAGTAACTATTTAATAGATATTTTTTAATTATAATCTTGAAAATAAAATACTCAAGTAGGTACCCACATTTTGACGTGACAAGAATAAGGGGCAATACATTCCAAAAAATCATTATTCACAGTCCCTTTATGTTTTAACTATGATTGAGTAAAACAAAAATCACGTGGCCAGAACTTACTCGATCTTAACAGCACAGGTCTCAAAATGTGACAATCCTTTTTAAATCAAACCGACAAAATTAATTTCAAGGTTTTATTATCTATAATTGATTCTATGTTTTTTACGTTTCTAAAAACAAGTAAAATTGTAAAATGGTAAAAAAACATTTGTGGCAGTTCACTTCTATAGTAGAAACGGCCAATGTTTTACTTTGTGTCATTAGTTTAAAATGTCAAAAACCATTTTTTCGACATACGTAGGTTGGTGTTATGTAATGTTTGGTTAGGTATCATTTCCAAAGGGGTGTATTGTTTGTGGCCTGATTGTCGGGCGACATTTCGAGTAAGAAGTAAACTTTGCATTGGTTTTTTAGATTCCCCTGTTTTTTGTTTATTTTACCAGTACTGTTGTACAGTTGTTACGAAAGAGATTCTTCTGACAAACCATTCGTACGCAACTGTCCCGATCACTGTAAACCGTAACCACGTGGGGACAATTTATTAACAGAAACTATTTAGGCGGAAAAACTCTATATTTATATATAGAATGAAGGTGTTTATTCTCTAAAAATTGTTTATATTGTAATTGAGGGGCTTGGAAGTAAAACGGTTCAAGTGCACTTTTTTAAATAAATGGTCTAAGTGCAGAATATCACACCTAAAGAATATTCTAACTTACAGCCTGTGGCTGTTCCGTAATTTACTGCCATTACTGTCAGTAATTTTACTGTCAGTAGCGGAAAAGGACCGTTCCGTAATTTATTCAGTACTGACGCACAGTGAAATTGGAACGCGCCTCAGTAGCATCAGAAAGTGACAATGGTTACGCAAGGTTATGATTTGTGATTTACTGACAATTGACAAACTTTCCTTTCGGCACAGCAGAGAACATAAATAAAAAATAAATATAACAGTTATAAGAAATATAATGTTTGGTTTATGGCAGAGAAAAATGGTAATTTAATGTTATCGTCGTCCGCGTCGAAAAATGTGTAGCCTGTGGCTATGTTCCGTAATTTACTGTCAGTACTGTCGGTACTGAAAACGCATTCCGAAATCCACTTTCAGTTACTGAGCTCAGTGGTAAATACTACCCTTTTATCAGTGGCGTGCAGTGCTACTTAAAGCAAGGTAGGCATTTTTATTAAAGTCAAAATCCATCGACTCCAATAAATTCAGTTTCATACAATTAAAGAAAAAAACAGATATTATTCTCAATGACCAAATAGATACCAATAATTCCCCGTTATTAAACTTATTTTAATAAATTCAAATTTTTTTTAGTGTTATATAACTATAGAGATTACAGGGCATCCCCATAATTATTGTTCCTTTATTGTATAACGTTAATTTAATCTTCCCCAATATTGTACTAAAAATATTACCTGTAAAACCATCATTTATATAAAAGTAAAATAAATATTAGTTTGTATACGATCTGAAGATGCTACTGTGTAGCGAAACAATTGTCATATTTAAATAAAATAGTGAAACTTTTAAACAGTGTAGTTTATATTAAAATAAAACAATATTAACATGGAGTTTCATCAAGTAAAAGTCGAAACAATTAACCATTTTTAATTATTTTAGGTTATTAAAATATTAAAATTGACTTTATCAATCAGCTGATCGCCACCCACACCCAAGACAAGTTGTCTTAGACAACGCTTCTCCCACTAACAAATTTTGCCCCCACCTACATAAAAGCACTGCTTTAAAACGTCTGTACGTTTGAATACGAAATAAGATTTTGTGCTTGCCCAATCTATTCTATGCGATGCTTATACGTAAAACGAATCTGCGTTTCACCGTGATAGTATCACATTGATACAATAAATGGCAAAAGTAAAGGCACCTATAAATTGGTTAATAAATATGTTGGTAAATATTTAAAACCCAAGTTATTAAATATTATTTATTATGTAGGTTTACCCACATTAAATTTAAAAAAAATAGTAAATTTTAATTATTCCAAGGTAAGCAATGCTTTTTTGCTTGTATTGTATGCACGCCACTGCCTTTTATAAATGTACGGCAGATTAATTTTACTGAAACAACTGGGGACAGAGAGGTGCTGTGGCTCCAGTAAAACACATAACCAAACTTTTAAACAAAAAATAGCTGTCAAATAAAGTGAAGGATATAAATTATATCATATAATGGTATTTGGTGAATACCTATAGGACTAATTATTTCAATATTTATTGATAAAATATTACTTGAAAGTACAAGCAGCAGTGACGAAGGCAGTCGGCGGGGAGTACGCATACGAAGACCCTAAATATGAAACTATAGTCACGGCCAAATCTATATGGGTGCACGTCATCAATGAGATATAATGACGTCAGCATTACCAACTTTGAATTGTAAAGTTACTGCCGTTAAATTTGCTTTTTTAAGGCGTAATTCTGATGTGTTATTAAAAAGAAATCATTCATTTGCGTATTGTTTACCAAGAACTGTAACAATTTCCTTGTTTTAAAACGTTTTTTTCACGAAATTATCAAAATAAAACCATTCACTTAGTAATTTTTGTGTGTGCCAGTTGGTAATAGCTTAAGGCTGGCGCGCACCGTTCAATATTATTGATGGGTCGCTGTCATTTTATATTTGACGTATTTTTGTAATTGTGACATTTCGTCCGGAAGCATCGTTTGTTGAAAATTATTATAAATAATTATTATTATAAATAATATTATACATTATGTTTATAAGATTCTATCCCTGGATTGTGCAAACAATGATATAAGGCTTGTTGGCAACTAGCCGTTATTAGATTTCGAAGACATTGCGCCCTTAATAATAAATTTGGGGAAATAATCAGACTTCAATTCTGACCTGGTTTGCTCTGATGACAAGGACGACTGGTAATTTATATATTTTGTGCTTCTGATAATTTAGAATATTTTTGTTATGTGCATATGTAATAAAAATGTAATAAACTCCGTTTGTTTTCTCTTTAAACACATTTAATAAAAATTTGCCTGTAACAAACTCCTAATTAGTTAGTGCAGAAGATTATAACAAGGACGTTATAATTCCATCTTAATAACAGACCCCACCGCTATAAACAGTCAACAATACACGAGCGTTAGATTGTGTCTGGGCACGTATGAATAGACCTTAACGCTGACGTCATATGCCGTTGATGACGTGCACCCATACAGATTTGGCCGTGACTATACCTACTATAGTACTACCTATAGGTAGTAGGTACCTAGAAAATGTTATATATTTGTATTCAGCGGACTAATTTAAGAGTAATTTTTGGTATTTGGCTTATTGTTGTGGTGTCAGTGAAATTTTATATTTCCTATTCCTATATACATTTTTCGACGCGGACGATGATAACATTAAATTTTCCATATTTCTCTGCCATAAACCAAACATTATATTTCTTATAACTGTTATATTTATTTTTTATTTATGGTCTCTGCTGTGCCGAAAGTAAAGTTTGTCAATTGTCAGTAAATCACAAATCATAACCTTGCGTAACCATTGTCACTTTCTGCTGCTACTAAGGCGCGTTCCAATTTCACTGTGCGTCAGTACTGAATAAATTACGGAACGGTCCTTTTCCGCTACTGACTGTAAAATTACTGACAGTAATGGCAGTAAATTACGGAACACAGCCTGTATCTTTGCTATTTAGGCTATTTTAAAAATCACACAAACAAAAACCAATTTTTATGTTCGTAATTCCGTGTCCACCACTGATACAATTTAATGGGAGCAGATAATGCTCCATTTCCATTTGAAAATAATTTACTAAATTAAACACAAGACGCTGATGTTTTCCATCTAACCGATTTTCGGGCATTGTAATCAGAATAGTGCGGTTTTTTCTAAGATCAAATACTGAAATTGTATTATAAAAAAATTATTTGATGCCAAAAACCCGTAAGGATGATAGATATAATATAATATATCTATCATCCTTACGGGTTTTTGGCATCAAATAATTTTTTTTATAATACAATTTCAGTATTTGATCATTATAAAGAACAAAAATTAAATATCAAATGTCAATTTGATTTGCTTGGTTCAGAAATTGATGACGCAATGTAAAACATTCGCCGCTAAGACTTTGATTGCAATCAGGGTTAGCAGGTTACTCGATTCCTTACCCCATTAAGTTTACTCACCCGAGTAGGTTTCCGACATTTCGCGTTCTCTATTTAGGTCCTAGGGATTACTGCAAACAAAAAAATATTAACTGTATTCAAAGCACTTTACAGTGAATTGAAAATTTGAACCCTTGTGGGAAGTATAGACTTTATTCAATGTTGTGATGAATTAATGCCTGTTAATGGTATTGAGCACAAAATAAAATAGTTGCGCCGGGTATCGATCCCGGTACCTCTCGCATGCTAAGAGAGCGCCTTTTTAACTGAGCTATAAGAGTCCCTGATATAAATGAAGGCTCGCTAATATAGTTGGAATTAATTGACAAAAATTAATTACTATAAATATTAATTAAAGGTAATTGCGGCCAATTTTTATAGGCAACTCGGCAGCAATATATTACAAAAGTTCAAACAAATTGAAATATTCTTTCGAACATTTTTTGAGGTATCTATATCTCAAAAACAATTGTTATTCAAATAATATTTTTGTGATAAATATCTGTACAAAAAGTTGGTATTTTTTGTAAAATGCAAATCAAACCTACCTAATTTGTTACAGGTTATTACATTTCTTATGATGACATGACGAATATTCATTTATTTTCAACAGGATTATTATAAAAAAAACGGGGCCCGGTGTGACGTTATATCACTTCCGTCTCGGGGCCTGTTTTCTATGTTTAC